TCTAGACATGAACAACTTTTTTCTTTTTCGTTTGCAAAGAAAGTTGTTTGGTAGCTTAGGTGTTCATGAAAAAGAAAATTAATGTAAATTAGATTATTTGTTAATTGGTGTATGAAGGCATTCAGTATAGATAGCTATGTTTTAAATTTTGGGATTCCTTTGGAATTTTGGATAAAGTATATACCTGTAAGTCCAGGTTGAGAATAAGAAGAGATTAGAGAAGTAAATGTTCAGTAAAATCTTCACATTTAGGGGCCGGAATGTAAGATACTAATCTCTGTTTGTGAGGACATTTTTTGTTTCAGTTGACGATCGGAGTGTGACGTCAGTAGCGATGGTTTTTTGGTTGAATTTTTGGTCTGCCGAGTGGGGGCGTAACAATTTAGCTGCAAATGATTCTCAATTTTGGGAAAAGTCATCCTTCTGATTGCGATCAATATTTAGTATTTCCAGACAAGCCCAATGTTGTTGAACCGCCTTTTGTGAACGGTATCGCATCATGCTTGAAATTGTCGCTATTTATTGAAGTGCAGTCAGTCCGATTGGTTGGTTATACGCTACACCACCCCTCCCCCCCCCCCCCTCTGTCTCTCTATCTGTACGGCTCGCTCTATTCACCCCTCCCTAACCCGCACTCTCTCTCTCCCTAACCTACCCCTCTCTCTCTCCCTAACCCACCCCTCTCTCTCTCTCTCCTAGTCTCCCTAACCCACCCTCCCTCTCTCGACCCTTCTGTATTCCTAACCAACACTGTCTCTCCCCCTCACACAATCTGTCTCTTTTCCTAACCCACCCCCTCAGCCCTCTCTCCCTAACCCACCCTCCCTCTCTCGACCCCTTTGTCACCCTAATCAGATCAGGGAGGTGTTTTAACTCTCATATCCCTGCCCTAACCCAACCCTTTTTCTCGACCCGGATCCCTAACCCATTCCTTTCTATCACTCTCTCTCTCTTTCCATGACCCATCCCTCTCTCCCTAATCCACCCTTCCCTCTCTCCCTTACCCATCACTCCCTCTCTCCCTAACCAACCCTCTCTCTCGATCCCTTGGTCTCCCAAACCCACTCCTTTCTCTCCCCCCCCCCCCCCCCCCCCCCCCCCCCCCCCCCCCCCCCCCCCCCCCCCCCCCCCCCCCCCCCCCCCCCCCCCCCCCCCCCCTCTCCCCCCCCCCCCCCCCCCTCTCTCTCTCTCCTAAATAACATACTCCTTTCTCTCCCTTACCCACCCCTCTCTGTCTCTTGATCCCTCTCTCTCTCTCAACCCAACTCAATAAGATTTGTACACAGTGTAAAAATAAAAAATATTTATTTTATAAAACAGAAAAGGAGCAATGAAATTAATACTTTGTTACAAAGTTCAAAGATGCATTTCTGAAGGTTTTAAGGAATCAAAATTAAAAGAAAATTTACACGACTTTCAATACAAGTAATAGACCTAAACAGGATACTTTACAGTAAAACAATCACCAAAACATGTTTTGATCGTGACGCAAGGGGTTCCATGGGGCTAAACTCTCTTCAAATACTTATGAGCTTTCAAAATTAATATTACAACATAAATGCTTTCTCAGTGAACAGTAAAATGTCTTGTTGAGGAGACTACCAGTACTTGTTTTTTTTCAGGCGTGGTTTTGTTAGTTTCAGTATTTTTAATTTCTTTAAAAAAAATTACCCTGTTGAAAAAATCATGAATAAATGAATACATATTACTTAAGCCCCACTGTACTACTTGTAGCTACTTGCTCCCTCTATATAGAAAACAATGCCTAATCGGTGACCATTGGTCCCCCATGATCCTCTTATTCTTATGTAAATTGAGAGCTGAGTTGATGAGATAGCCATCTGTCAGTGACCACCCTGTTGGTTTTATCCCTCCTAGCCAAACTAGTACAGCCGGCCTTTAAAACAGACATAGAACACTCTCATAAAATAGGGCGCACATGAAACCCAAGTACAACTTGGGTTTAGTGCGAGCCCTATACCGTGTAAGTCAAAAAAAAGTTTACACCTAGAAAGTTGCTAATTATTTTAAAAATCTTCTATGAACAGTAAATTATTATACATCTTATGAAAGAGTGTTTTATCCCAACTCATGGTATCATTTTTTGTGTGGCATGTATTCATGCTTCGATGAACAGGAGGCATTGTTTGCAAGAGTGCAAAAATCAACTTGTGCCAAAGTGATACCAACAGTATGTATTATGTTGGGATTAGCAGAGTGAGAGAATGAACTGAATGTATCAAATGAAATGCATTGCATTTGCTATTTGCAGAAGCAAAGTCACACACACACGCCCACAAATCGTCGCGGACTTTACGAACCGGCGAATAGTCAAATTTCAATGAAATTTTCAATTTTGTAATTTTTACATATTTTGATAGTGCTTACAAGGATGTATCAAAATGCCAAATTTCAGGACATAAAAGTGAATATTACTGAAATTATCAATGTTTTTGTATATTGACCAACATGATGTCCTAAATTTACCAAAAGTGAAAAAAAAGGGGTTTTACGAACCGGCGAATAAAATATTCGTCGGTTCGTAAAAACCGATGGGATGCGTGGCGCTGTAGTGTATATGCGTTATCGACTACACTTAACTAGAAAAACTCGCGGGTTTTACGAAGCGACGAAAATACAGTAGGCCTATTTCGTTACTGTATCGTCGATCTGCAGAGCCTGAAACATTTTTATTATTTTCTGTTATTTCATCGGAATTGCCTGGAATAAGTTCGTCATTGTAAAAAGGGTGAGCTTTAAATGATTATGTCACATTATTATAGTTTTGATTAACCTCACATTCCAAATTTCAACACTATTAGTATTAAGACTTAAATATAATATTTTCTTCGCTGATTGAAACAATGTTTGTAGCATGGTCCCAGATGCCTTAATTTATGTTAGTAGGTGCAAGCAATCGGCGCTAATGCTGTTTCGCATCGACATCCGGCGAAAGATAATTACTTAACTTAGGGTTAAGTTTAGATATATAGATCTAAGTTTATGGTTAGGGTAAGGGTAACCTTACGTTACATTAGGTAGCCTTATACTAGACTATGTAATCTTAACTCTAGATCTAACCCTAACTTAGATCTAGATGTAACTTGGATCAGTATTCTAAGTTTCAAGTCTGAGCCTGGCCTGGGGCCGCCGATTTTTCTAGAAATAGAATCTACAATTTTACATTATTTTTTGTATGGATCTAACGTTAGACTAAGGTTAAAAGTGTTAAGTTAGTTAGATTCTAAGTAGATCTAGCGTTAGTCTAGATCTAATAGAATAAACAAATAGGGTCTATATGTCAAGACTCAAGTCCTAGATCTAATTGTTACTCAAGTTCGATCTAGTTTAGCCCAAGTTAGACTCTAGAGTCTACTTGAGTTAAGTTTAAGCCAGGGCAAGGGACAGGAGATGGATGTAACGTTAACATTAACAGTTACTCACGTAGATCTAACGTTAGATCTATGTTAACTTAACATCTACCAAAGATCCTAGATCTACATCTATGACAAAATGGCATGGGTGAATTCAATTTAATTTGAAATAGCGTCTATTTAAAAGAGGGCGATTGACTAACAAAAGTTAGGGTTTAAATCTAACTTAGATCTAGATCATCTAGTGCAACCTAACATAGATTCCAGATGAACAATAATCTAACGTTAAATCTAAGTTAGATCTAAGTTAGCTTCGTTGGTCAAAGTACTGTGAATAGATTTAGATCTTACTAACTAACGTTAGATCTATATCTAATTTAGATCTGTTAGATCTAACTGTTAAGTTAGTTCCCGCTTAAAATTTAATATCATAGATAGATTTACAACAATAACATCTAGACATTTAAGTTAAATGTCGATGTTGTATCGACGTTGTATCTAATAAAAAGAATTGTATCTATTTGCTTGGAGATCTGATCTAATTTAAGTTAGACCCAGACTATAGATCTAGAAAGTTAAACCTCTACGGGCTCTAGATCTATGAGACTCTGGTCTATTTTTTTATTTTTTTATTTCAAGTGATTTTCTTGTGACATAGATCTAGTCATAGATCTAACGTTAGATGTATGGTCAACTCTTGCCTTGGTAAAATGTCAGGTTTAACTGTTATGTTATGAATTTTTTTTCTTTCTGCTGTTCCCTTATTTTCAGAAATGGATGTGTTGGTAAAGTGGAAGAAAGATGGGAGCCAGAATATTGTCAGTGCTGAAGACCTGCATCTGGATGGGAAGCGCTTAATTAAGAAGGGTGCAACTGTTCAGATGAGGGGGAAGTATTCTTGGTGGAAAGGGAAGGTCATCTCCATATTTCAGAGAATTGGTTAGATTATTAGTATGAATAATTCTTTTGTATTAGACAAAATATGAAATTGATATGAAAATCAATTGCGAAAGGTAAGATGATTTAAAATACCATGAAAACAGATTTATTTTCCATAAAAAATTTATATGAAAAAGAATTGACAGTGTGAGAGAATGAAGTATAGTAATTAGGATTAATGTCAAGTGATACTACGAATGGTGATGACCCAATATCTGATGACGATACATCATTTACCACAATGACTGGGAACAAATCATTTTTAGCTCCAATTTGATTATTGTTTAAAAATAAGAAGGACAGCACATGTTAATAATAAAAAAAAAGAAAGGATAGGAATGTATTAAATAAAAAAATATGTATGATACACATTATTAGGATTTTGATTGATTTACATTATTTTACATTCACAGTGCCAGAACGAAATCAAGGTCCCATAGGTCCAAGTGACTCTACTGGAGTGCTTCCACAAGGTCCCAAGGACTCTGCAAATGACGGTGAGGACGAAGATGATCTTCCTCTGACAATGCTTGGTACGAAACATTCTTATCTTCAATTGGATTATTGTTTCAAGCCTCAAATAAGAAGGATAGCACAAATTAATCACAAAAAGAAAAGGAAAAAGAGAAATGTATGAAATGAAAAATCTGAATGATAAACATCTATGGGACTTTGATTTACAATATTCTACATTCACAGTGCAAGAACGAAATCGAGGTCCCATAGGTCCAAGTGGTTCTACTGGAGTGCTCTCACAAGGTCCCAGGGACTCTGCAAATGATGGTGAGGACGAAGATGATCTTCCTCTGACAATGCTTGGTAAGAAATGTTCTTATTTTCAATTAAGAAGGATAGCACAGATGAATCACGAAAAAAAAGGAAAGAAGAGAAACGTATGAATTGAAATATCTGAATGATTAACATCTATGGGACTTTGATTTACAATATTCTACATTCACAGTGCCAGAACGAAATCAAGGTCCTATAGGTCCCATAGGTTCAACTGGAGTGCTCTCACAATGTCCCAGGGACTCTGCAAATGACGATGAGGACGAAGATGATCTTTCTCTGACAATGCTTGGTAAGAAACATTCTTATTTTCAATTTGATTATAGTTTCAAGCGTCAAATAAGGAAAGCATAGATGAATCGCAACAAAAAAAAAAAGATAGAAGCGAAATGTATGAAATGAAATATCGGAATGATTAACATCTATGGGACTTTGCTTTACAATATTCTACATTCACAGTGCCAGAACGAAATCAAGGTCCCTTATGTCCAATTGGTTCAAGTAGAGTGCTCTCACAAGGTCCCAGGGACTCTGCAAATGTTGTTGAGGACGAAGATGATCTTCCTCTGACAATGCTTGGTAAGAAACGTTCTTATTTTCAATTTGGTTATTGTTTCAAGCCTCAAATAAGAAGGATAGCATAGGAAGTATTCTTGGTGGAAAGGGACGGTCATCTCCATATTTCAGAGAATTGGTGAAATTATTAGTATGAATAATTCTTTTGTATTAGACAAAATATGAAATTAATATGAAAATCAGTTGCGAAAGGTAAGATGATTTAAAATGCCATGAAAACAGATCTATTTTCCATAAACAATTTATATGAAAAAGAATTGACAGTGTGAGAGAATGAAGTATAGTAATTAGGATTAATGTCAAGTGATGCTACGAATGGTGATGACCCAATTTCTAATGACGATACATCATTTACCACAATGACTGGGAACAAATCATTTTTAGCTCCAATTTGATTATTGTTTATAAATAAGAAGGATAGCACATGTTAATAAAAATAAAAAAAGGATAGGAATGTATTAAATGAAATATGTATGATATACATTACATTCACAGTGCCAGAACGAAATCAAGGTCCCATAGGTCCAAGTGATTCTACTGGAGTGCTCCCACAAGGTCCCAAGGACTCTGCAAATGACGGTGAGGACGAAGATGATCTTCCTCTGACAATGCTTGGTAAGAAACGTTCTTATTTTCAATTTGATAACAGTTTCAAGCCTCAAATAAGAAGGATAGCACAGATGAATCACACAAAAAAAGGAAAAAGAGAAATGTATAAAATGAAATATCTGAAAACTTAACATTTTTAGTACTTTGATTTACATTATTTTACATTCACAGAGCCAAAACAAAATCGAGGTCCCATAGGTTCAAGTGGTTCTACTGGAGTGCTACCACAAGGTCCCGGGGACTCTGCAAATGATGGTGAGGACGAAGATGATCTTCCTCTGACAATGCTTGGTAAGAAACGTTCTTATTTTCAATTTGGTTATTATTTCAAGCCTCAAATAAGAGGGATAGCACAGAGGAAAATTTACCCCCCCCCCAAAAAAAAAAAGAAGAGAAAATGTATGATATGAAATATCTGAAAGATTAACATCTTTAGGACTTTGATTTACATTATTTTACATTCACAGTGCAAAAACGAAATCAAGGTCCCATAGGTCCAAGTGATTCTACTGGAGTGCTCCAAAAAGGTCCCAGGGACTCTGCAAATGACGGTGAGGACGAAGATGATCTTCCTATGACAATACTTGGTAAGAAACGTTCTTATTTTCAATTTGATTATTGTTTCAAGCCTCAAATAAGAAGGATAGCACAGATGAATCACAAAAAAAAAGAAAAAGAAAAAAAAATCATTGAAATGAAATTAGTTATAGGTCCACAAATATGCTTTGAAACAGAATGCTATCACTGCAGTCACATAATAGGATTGTGTTCGATAGTGTGTGACAGCAGTGAAAGCATTTTCTCAGTCTTTCATCCTCTTACAAAAACTGGCAAAAACTTTCTTTTTTACCCGTCACCTTCACTTGCAATGTACTCAGTTATGCGTGACATTTATGATGCAGGAAAAGTATCATTGCAAAGGTGAGAAGTTCCTCCTTAATTATGTTACATTTAAATTGCCAGAATAAATGAGCTTGGAATATGGCCCCTGAAAAATTGGACTATCTTTATTATGATACGCACTTTTATATATATATTACATATTGCAGAGATGTTAGAGAGCTTTTTACTCAGATTTGGACATGACAAATATGAGCTCTTGAAAAAATGTTTTACTCTTTTAATTTCACATGGCAAGTTATATAATGAGATTGATATGTTTGTGATTACAGAGTTATCACAAGATCTGATTGAACTTGAGACATTTATGTCTATACCAGACATGCCAGGTGATGATGACGCCAGCCAGGATGACGCCATGTCAGTTGATACAGAATCAGACACAGGTAAATGGATATACTGGGGAAAACCATAAATGTGTGTCATGTATGAATAATCAATTATCATCAAACCTTACTATACAATCTGCATATAGTGTGTAAAGATTCAGGCAAGTACTTTTGATAATTAATAAGCACCAGATTGATTTTAATTTGTTAACAACTGAATATCATTGCTTTGTTAGTGAAGTATTAATTTGCATTTTGATACTTTGTTCAATGGTTTTAATTTATTGCATTTCTATCTTTGCAAACACCTTTCATCTTGTTCACATTTTAAAAATCTTATATTTGTTTTAAAGATCTCCAAGTTATCAAGTCTTTGGGGGAAGTTGACAAGCATCCCGGTGACCAGTGTTGCGGCAGTCTGCATTGCAAAGGTAATGTGTTTGCAGCATGCATCAGGTGTCAGACTTTGATGTGTTTTGAACACTTTGACAAAGGTGAAGAGTGTAAATTTCATGCTCAATTTGAAAGGGAAAACCCCCCTGAAAGTTTTGTCATAGAGGAATCAGTTGGAAATGACATCAATCCTTTGTTGGATACATCCCAAAATATACCAGTCAAGACTCCTAAGTAAAAAAATCGCCTTGTTAAAGATGCTAGGAACAAAGGTAAATCCTATTTCTCTGAAAAATCTGACAAGTTTGTGGGAGGGCGAAAATTTGTAGAGTACAACAAGTGTGACTTGTCACGAAATCACAAAAAGGTTTCATGTGGTATCTTCACTGAGGAAGACAGGCGTGAAATAAGGTATGACTATTACAGAGCTGCCAACTAGTACGGATTTTCCGTAATTGGTACGGAAATCAACGGCAATTACGGAAGCACGGAAACCCCTTCAAAAATTACGGATTCCCCGATTTCTGGACATGCCTATGTATTAACACATGCATTATGCATATGCGAGTGTTTTAGCGGTAATGATCGCGATACTTCCCGGGCCTCGGCCCGGTGGTTAACTTTTGAGCGCACAGAAATATCATCCGCGCCTCAGCCACGACCACTGCACACACATGTAGCTACCATCGAAAGATATGCACACCGCCCTGCCTATATGGGCTGCGTGTGCTAGCTTTCAGCATGCAATATATATCGGGGAGACGGCAAACTCGTCCCAAGTCCATTTAGCCACCTTGCAAACCAACCCGTACGGTACCATGTCCATGTGTAGTTTATAGCAGGTCTACAATTTTTTTCCCCTTAGTGATGGGTTCTCATTGTTATGATAATAAAAGTACGACTCGACTAATGATGAAGATGATGATGACGATGATAATGATGATAATTGTCATAAGGAAAATGAATGTACTTCCTTGATTAAACTTGAATTTATATTCAACAATTATTGTCATTGTGTTTTATTTCACATTATTTGTTGGATCATGTTTATTCATTTCATTTTATTCATATACCCCTTTTCATTGTTGATAACAAAATATGATACACGAATAAATTTTGAATGAGCTGACACACAAAGTTTTGACCGATACGAAAGCGCATGCATGGTGGATGTGCTGAAACAAGTGGCACGATATTTATCTGGGCGAAATATGCATTGGCCGAGTGTTACACTACCGCATGTGCAGCAGGTCGGCCGTGGTCGCGTCAAACTTCGAGTAACCGACGGAGAAAAATGACTTCAACTTCATCGAAGAAGCGTTCTAAAAAACTGCAAACCTTCTCAGGTGATTACACCAAGAAATGGTCATGCATTGTTCCGTCGAAAAGGAATACAAACAGTGCCTGTTGTACACATTGCTCATCCGATTTTGGAATTGGTCATGGCGGTTCGAACGATATCCAGGTACATCTGAAGTCGGTGAAGCACCGGACTGCAGCGGCGGAGGCAAGTTCCAATTCCCGCAGTCATGACATCGCCCAGTTTTTCGTCGCAAAGGACAATTCTGTCACGAACGCCGAAGTGAAGTTTACTCAATTTTTGATAGAGCACAACATCGCGTTTTCAGCAGCAGACCACCTTTCACAACTTGTCAAAAATGCCTTCCCTGACAGTAAAATTGCAAGTAAATACGCGTGCCGTCGCTCCAAGGCTACAGCAATCGCAAGAACTTTGGGACAGGAAACAAAAGGTAAATAAATATTGAAAATTGCATTTTAGATTTAAAGGGAATCTACTGTCGTGGGAAAAGTGACAAAAGTTATTGTGAGCTTCCAGATTAATATCATGGCATGCTATTTAGGAAGAATATTATAATAAAAAGGCCCACTGTCAATGATTGCTCTTAAATTGTTCTCATACATGTACATGTAGTCGTAATAATAATATGACAATAAACAGCTGAAATGTGCGGGCCGCACAGTTGAATGTAGTCCCATACATGCATTTCTGTGTGCAGTGCATGTGACTCTCATCATAATTGAGTTAATTTCTTATTATTTTGGTCATTCCAAAACCTTATAGCATACAACAATTCTTAGTTGAAGTGTAATCAACCTTTCCCAATCACTCAGAGAGTTTCTTCCACAATTAAATTTCACGACCACGACAGTAATTTCCCTTTAAATTGAACATGTGAAGTACATAATGGGAATGAAAGCCAGGGCTCTGTCTCAAAAAGAAATGACAATTATTAACCTAAAAAAATTATTGTGTGTAGATTAGTTGTAGTCTGTAGAATTTGAAGTTAGATTAAAAGTAAAGACACTATGATTATCACAATTGTTGTGTTATTGTTAAATAAATGCTCAGGTCAGAATAACATAATTTTATATTGCTTGCTTACTTAATGGTTGTGTGTATCCCTTCTCGCCATGCCCATTGTAAGCATTTAATAAAAAAATTATAAGAAATAAAATTCAAATTTACACAACAATGTCCCCTTTGACTTTTTTTGGTGCAGTCAATTATCAAGATTTAGATCATGTCGCTACAGTACAGGTGTTGATATATGTACTATGTTTGCCAATTGTGCCGATAGGCTTTAACTGTGCACAATATTCCCCCCCCCCCCCCCCACTAAACGCAAGTGGTATGCATCTGTTCTCAATGGGAAATGCACATGTATATTAAATTTAAAAAAAAAAATTTGTTCTGTCATAAAAACCAATGATCAATATAATTAAGTTTTTACCTGTTAATTCCTCACTTCTGTAAGGGAGACCTTGCCCTGTGCATGTTGAACACGTTATAATGCTTAGTAAAAACAGATATCTAATGCATGAACTAGGGAATGTGAATATGCTTATCCACATTTATCAACAAATTTTATCTGACCTGATCGTCATAATGTACATGTTTTCCCTTTTTACATTGCAGGGGACATCATCCGCAAGATACGTGAGAAGCCCTTCTCAATTTCGACAGATGGGAGCTCCGATAGGGGGGCAGATGAGCAACTCTACCCCATACTTGTAAGATACTTCGATGATGATGCACAACATGTTGTGACCGTTCTCTTAGAAATAGCGACAACAAAGGGGAGTTCCACAGGGAAAAATATCTTCCAACTTCTTGATCAAGCACTCACAGAGAACAAAATTCCATGGAAAAATGTTACATGTTTTTCTGCTGACAACGCGGCTGTAATGATGGGAGTGCACAACGGGGTTGCTGCTTTTGTGAGAGAGAAGAATCCTGAAGTGTATGTTAATGGCTGCGTATGTCATTTGCTTCACCTAGCAGCTGAGAAAGGGGCCCAGCAACTTCCATCAAGTCCAGTTGATCTCCTGATACCAATCTTCTACTACCTAGAGAAATCTAGCAAGAGGCACAAGGCATTCCGTGAAGTGCAGTCATGCTGTGATGTCAAGCAACATGCAATTCTTAAGCATGTGTGTACCAGGTGGTTGTCCTTGGAGCAGGCCTTGAACAGACTTATTGAACAATGGGTTCCTCTGGTTGAGTTCTTCCGGAGTGAATCTGAAACTTCATCATCTTCTGCGCAAAAGAAGAAGAGTGTCCAGTCGAAGACTACAGCTAAAAAGGTTCAACCACAACCCCAACCCCAGAAAAAGAACACTGGAAATGCCAAAGTTTCTGTGACCAGTTCTAAGCCTGTGTCTGGAAAGGCAAGCACAAGTTCTGAATCATCATCTGGAACAAAGAGAAAGATTGAAGACTCACATCAGAATAGAGGGAAACAGCTAAAACCTTCTAGTAGCCATCAAGTCCATCAACCATCCCAGAAGAAGAGCTCTGGCTATATAATTCCCCATATTGCCAAAACTTCAAGCTCAAAGCCTGCATTGGGAAAATCAAGCACAACTCCTGCATCTGTGTCAAAGGCATCAACGAGTAAAAGTTCCCCTGTGGTCACAAAAACTTTGTCTTCTCATGGTACAGCTCCAAGTACATCTGCATTTCCCTCTACTTCTTCTATTGGGAAGAAAGCCAGTGATGTGACCAAAAAAGACCTCCCTAAAGGAACCAAAGTTGGATCAGGAAAGGTGAAAATGCCACCCCCAAGATCAAGTTGGGCTCCATCATCACAGAAGACAGGTCAGGTGTTTGCAGGCACAGAGCATGCTGTGAGCAAGACCTCCCAAGAAGTCCCAGCAACGTCTAAGGCAGCTGCTATCTATGACAAACTGACAAATGATGAGAATAAACTATATTGCTTATTTCTCCAGCACAACATTCCTTTGTTCACTGTACTGAATTTAGAGCTCCAAGAAGAATCACCCAAGATTCATGTTCTACTTGATAGACTTCAGGCCTTTCTTCAAAATGTTTTGACAAGATTTGTTAAGCCTAAAGTGCTGATGGCATCGTCTCAAGAGTGTGACTACAAAACAAATGACAATCAGCGTGAAGACAACGACTTGGTGATTGGTTCTAAAGTGAGAGAGTTGCTTCAAAGCGGAAACTTCAGTGATGGCCAGAAGAGGAAGTTCTTCTCATCCGTGAGACAGTACTATATATCAGTCTGCAACTATGTTCTGAGCAAATTTCCGTTGAAGGATCCACTTCTCATGCATGCTAGAGTGGCCAATCTTGAAAGGCGACAGGAAACGCCCTTTGTGTCAGTGGAGTATTTTGTTTGGAGATTCCACTTCATGGAAGATGATATTGAAACACTTGAACAGGAATATGCCTCCTACCAGAGTGATCCTTCCGTGGACAAGATTGATGCTTCAAAAGCAGACTTGGCATGGGATGCAGTATCTCAGCTCAAAGATCCCACCAGTGGGCAGTTTCGCTATGCTCATCTAGTGCAAGTCATGATGCTGATTCTTTCGATATCACACAGTAATGCTTCAGATGAGAGGCTGTTCAGCTTGGTGAGGAAGAACAAGACCGAGTTTAGGGCCAGTTTGAGTACTGCAACATTGAGTGATGTTCTCACTCAGAAGGCAACATGCCAGTCCAAAGGACAAAACTGTCATGACATGAAATTCAGCGATCAACTGCTAACCAAATGTAAGGGAGCTGCAATGGCTTTCTGCAAACAGTGATAAACTATTATAACCAAATGTAAGGGAGCTGCAATGTGTTTCTGCAAACAAGCAAGCTACAGTGTGACTGGACATTTATGATTTGCACATATTATTACATGCAATTCAGTGATAAACTCTTAACCAAATGTAAGGGAGCTGCAATGTGTTTCTGCAAACAGTGAGAAAGCAAGCAAGCAAGCTACAGTGTGACTGGACATTTATGATTTGCACATATTACCCGGCCCCCCCACTCAGGTTTCGAAATGACCGCATGCGTGTTGCCAAAATGTCCGGTAAAGGGGTACTTTTCGTGCGACAAAGTCCGGCCCGAGAATTGTAAAAAAAGGGGTGTATTTGACTTTTCACCCGGAGATTTCTTTAAAAAGGGGGTGTTTTTCTTTTTTTCTCTCATCTCTTTGGAATCCTGAGAAATTATTCCGAATTTAGGGGGGTACATTGAGCATTTTTCCCGATTTAGGGGGGTCTCCAAGGCAGGAAAAGCCCGCGAAAAGCCCGCGAAAGGGGGGTTCGGAAATGTTGGCAGTCCTCAGATAGGGGGTGCTTTCAAAAAGAGGGAACGAGCATATGCGTACCCTAAATAACACTGAGTGGGGGGGCCGGGACATATTATGACATGCAATTCAGTGATAAACTCTTAACCAAATGTAAGGGAGCTGCATTGTGTTTCTGCAAACAGTGAGAAAGCAAGCAAGCAAGCATACAGTGTGACTGGACAGTTATGTTACTTAGGTAAGAGTTGTTCCATTATGTTTGTAGAGCCTCTATGTTAATTGTAAAAACCTGAAGTGAATATACACACGTAAGTGAAACAGGGTAATGATACATCAATCCTCTAATAACCATTGTTTTTTTTATAGCACTTAAAATGATGTTATAAACAGAATGTTCTTGTTTTTACTTCAAGTCCTGTCATTCAGAGTGATGCTATTACCATGGTACTAGTAGTTTGTGTTGTGGTGTTGTGTGCAGCTCTACAATGTACGTGCAAATGCAGTCTTCTTGATGTTGAAAGCGCCGCGCTTGAAATTACTGATTTCCATCCAAAATTACTGATTTTTAGCTTTCAGATTACTGATTTTGGTTTCAGAGGTTGGCAGCTCTGCTATTATGGAATGGGCAATCTAGCTCTGCAGAGAGAATGGATTGCACGACATGTATCTCACAAGGCCCATTCACATGTGAAAAGTCGTAAGAAACAGACAATGAGGTATACTCTTCCTCGACCTTCTTCATTTTCTTATCCTGGAGAAATTGTCACTGTTTGTCGTAAGATGTTCCTGAACACTTTGGGAATTGCCGAAAGGCAAGTGCGAACTGTACTTGGAAAAACAAAATCTGGCACTGGTGTCCTGGGGAGGGAAAGAAGAGGTGGGACACAGAAACCTCAAATCCAAAAGCGACAAAAAAATCATTGAACACCTACAGTGCTTCCCACGAGTGGAGTCTCATTACTGTCGCTCTTCCACAACATGCCAGTATCTTTCTGGGGAACTGACAAAACGAAGGATGTTCAATATGTTTGAAAATGAAAACCCAGGGTGTGCCTCTTACTCCCTGTACAAAGAGGTTATGAGAGAGCTCAAACTCAAATTTCATCGACCCAAAAAGGACAAGTGTGGGATTTGTGAAACTTTCCGCAAGTCTAATGAGGTTGAAAGAGACCAGATCAAAGTGAAATACAACATGCACAGACAAGAAATTTCAAAAGTAAGACAGATAAAGTCAGAGAGCAAAACTCGTGCCCAGCATGATGACAAGCATATGCTGCTGCTGTGTTTGATCTGCAGCAAAACATGTACTTACCAAAATCAAATAGGGGTGAGTTGTTCTACAAGAGAAGATTAGCATGCTACAATTTTACTATTTACAATTTGGCTAATCATGCAGGAAGTTGTTACCTTTCAAATGAAACAGTAACAAGAAGGGGAGCTTGTGAGGTATCGACATACGTCCTTGACTACCTCAGCAATTGTGATAAGGAAGGAAAGACGTCAGTTGACTTCTTTTGTGATGGCTGTGTTGGCCAAAACAAAAACTCAATTGTCCCATCGATGGTACATAGGTTTGTATCCGAGGCCAAAAGTGTGCAAGTGGTAACATTCTACTACTTTGAAACCAATCATGGCCAGAGCGAGGGTGATAGCATGCATTCCACCATTGAAAAATGTCTTGCTCGCTCTGAAGAAGTTTTCCATCCTTGCCAGCTCTCTTCTATAATCAAGGAGGCAAGAAAATATCCATGCCCATACACAGTCAGACATGTTCAAACCAATGACATTTTGGACTGGAAGACATATGGCCATAATTTAGGTATCCTGAAGTGCAGACAGGCGGATACTGGTGAGGCAATTGATTGGACGACCTTCAAGCAGATTAGAATAAGCAAAGAACTTCCTACCTCAATTCTTTTCAAAACATCACATAATACTAATGATTTCAGTATTCTTTCACTAGGCAGATCCCGCAGCCTGCGTTCTACCACTCCTGCAGTTCACATTGTTCCTCCTTCCCAGCTCTACCAAAGCAGACCCAAACTATCTGCTGGGAAGTATAGCGATCTTGTCAGTCTATGCAGAGGCACATATCCTGTCATTTCCCAACCGGAACTAGTTGATTACTATATTAATCTACCTCATGAATAGATTACAGTCACTACCATGTCCACCTTTTAACTCTACTTTTTGTTTTTGTTTTTGCAGGACGAGGATCACTACCTGAGTTGGACAATCATCTACATGTATAGACTTTCGATGACTGCTGGTTTGTATCATATGGTTTAAGGGAATGCTCTATAGATTTGTTTTGATTTGTTTTAAATTATTAATGCTTAGGCCGATGTCCAAACTAAAATTCCAATAGTATTGCAATGCAAGGCTGGAAGTCATTGGATATAACTGCTTGCATAAACTTGCACACTAATATTTTGCACCTTAGCCATGTTAGTAGCAGAGGGCTGGAATTCTTTTACACAGTTATGGGATCTAGAGTCAACTCAGTATCACTGCTTCTATTAACTATCACTGCTTTTGTCATCTTGCACACTAATATTTTTGCACTTTGGCACAGGACTACAATTCGTTGACTTGGTTATGGAGTCACAAGCCAACTTTGAAGAATTGCTCTGCCGCAAAATATACGATATTTTGAAAATACCACTGCTTATATATTAACTTGCACACTAATGTTTTGCACTTTAGTACAGGAATACAATTCGTTGACTCGGTTATGGAGTCAAAAACTAACTTTGAAGAATTGCTCTGTAACAAAATATGCAATATTTTGAAAATAACACTGCTTATATATTAACTTGCACACTAATGTTTTGCACTTTAATTAGCACAGGACTACAATTCGTTGACTCGGTTATGGAGTCACAAGCCAACTTTGAAGAATTGCTCTGTAGCAAAATATACAATATTTTGAAAATAACACTGCTTATATATTAACTTGCACACTAATGTTTTGCACTTTAGCACAGGACTACAATTCGTTGACTTGGTTATGGAGTCAAAAGCCAACTTTGAAGAATTGCTCTGTAACAAAATATACAATATTTTGAAGAAAAAAAAAACACTGCTACCCTCCCTGGTCATAAGTATTGCAACATAGCTAAAATGCATGCATTTTTGTTTTTATTTTACAAGCCTTTCTGTATATTGTTATATTTCATTCATAACCATAGTGTTGTCGACAATTTGTGTATATTTTGAAAGGGAAGACTTGTCCCATTTCATTCATGAGAGCAGTAAATGATCAGACCCGGTCATTTTTTAAACAAAGGGGAGGATAACAGAACAAAGGCAAACAAACAAAAAAAAAATTGGGGGGAGGTGGGGATTATCAGTGAGCGAAATCATGATGATCTCGATTTTGTGTTAACCTGATGTCCTCTGTGTCGATTCTCTTACAGTAAGCCAGTATGCGACATTCCAGGGGGAACGTGAAGTGCTATTCTTGCGGTCATTACTTCTCCCACAAGAGAAGTTTGGAGAGACACATTCAAGAGAGACATCGAAGAAGGGAGGAACACAAATGCAGAGGGTGCGACAAGTCTTTTTTTTAGGAAGGACAACCTGACGAGGCACGTACAGAGTCGACACGAGGGGAAGACAACAGAAGACAAGCGGCAAGACGCACCTGTGGTAACCCCTGTAGCAGCAGGTGAGCTGAGTATTCATGCTTCGAAGGAAACACTCTCTTCAGAGAACGGGAATGCATCGAGGCCGACCGGTAAAGATCTCAGCATGCTGTTAAAGGAGAGGGAAAGTGAGACCTCGTCGGTATCGTCAGAATCAGAAGCTGAGGTGGAGGACTGCCCAACCCCAACGTTTCGGAAGATCCAGATGGGAAGGCCAATGCAGGGGTTGGATCTGCGACGCACTCTTCCGGGCACCCCTCTGCAGGTAGAAGAGAGGTCTTCCTCAACACAGTTCTCGGGGGGCAAGAAGCTCTTTCAGGAGGAAAAGGTACGAGAGTACAGCGTGGTTTTCCTGCATGGGTGTGAGAAGGAAAGTTCGCCGGCGCCTACAAAGTTGCATCACCTCGCATCGGATCAGTCGCTAGGTTCTCCGATGTCCGTACAGGAGCTGGAAAGGGCCCTGGTCGGCCGGGTTAACAGCATTACTGAAGTCACCACAAGACGATCTTTTTGTGATGGGATTCTGGTAGTGGAGGAAGAGATCAGGACCAATTACAGTATTAACTTGAAGGCTGGAGCAATCTTACCAGAAGTTTAACTCATACATGTATATCAATTCAGCTATCATTAATATTGCAATTACTTGGAAACCTGTTTTCTTGTATTTTATGCTGCAATTAAAGTTCATGGCGGAACTCATTTATATTCCTCTTATAGTGATTAAATTTTCCTTACATGTAACTATTGATGTTGTTGTTTTTAGTTTTCACGGCGCTATCATTGAAAATATGAATATTTACGCCAGAATGAATTCCTATGATCTATTCCACCAAAGATGATAATGCGTGTGTATATATTACTTGTACATAACTCTTACCTCATGTTTAACTGCAGGCTTATTCGAGGATAGTGGTACTGCGTACATACTGATAGTACAGGTTGAAATAGTTTAAATTTGGAAAGGACTTGATCTTTTCCCATCTTGTTCTTGTACAATTACATGTAATTATTGCTATACGTGAAAGTATTCCAGCGGATTTTTCGGCCTTTAATTGCAAAAATGTATTTATAGATGTTGTTCGCAGGACAGAATGATTAATTGAAATAAATGTATAAAAGTTTTATCTATGTAATTTTGCCTCATTCTTGCCAAAAGCATGTATTAAGACGATTTTGTGTTTTTGGTCAGAGGACTGCCCAGACTTGGGGCGGGGTAGTGTAACGAAATCGTTATTTACATTACCTAGCCTTTAGAGGGCGTTAGTTATTGTAATTGTTTATTGTTATTGTAGATGTCGCTATGGTTACGTCGCGCACTGCGATGCGCATACGTGGGGTTAATCTTGTGGGCAGTTTGTGTTGAGCTGCGGAAGAAGGAAGTTGTGCCTCAATTTGTTTGGAAGTTCAGATTATTAAAGTTCTTGGAAACATTACTTGATCTGTAAGTGCATATTATTTCCTGTGTTGGTAACTTAATTTAGTTAAGTGATTGTAAGCTGATCTGAGAGTGTCTGTTGCACAATATATTTTTGTGAGAACGTCGAGTACAGAGAAAGAGCGGGTTCTGACTGAAGAAGTGACGCTACCCAGAGAGTGAGAGACCCGTTTTCGTTACAATATGATAAGATTGGCTGATAAATCAATACCTTCTCTTACTGCTATTGTGAACACCAGCTATGTACATTATGTATATTATACTTATGTAAATATGTATGGTAATGTTATATCATATAGGATAGACAATTATTTTCATTGCAAAATCTGTTAAAATTCAGTATTTTACACATAATATGTAGAAAGAAGTATTGATTATTGAAATTTCAGTATATCCAATTTGATCCAAGATTTTGTGCTTGCAGTTTTTACATATATTTATGAAGATGAAATGATAAAATTGGCTGATAAATCAATATATTCTTTTACTGCTATTGTGAACACCAGCTATGTATGTATATTATATTTATGTAAATATTTATGGTAATGTTATATCATATAGGATAGACAATCATTTTCATTGCAAAATCTGTTTAGATTTAGTATTCTATCAAAAAATATGTAGAAAGAAGTATTTATTATTGAAATTTCAGTTTAACCAATTTGATCCAAGATTTTGTGCCTGCAGTTTTTACATATATTTGTGAAGATAAAATGGTACGATTGGCTGATAAATCAATATATTCTATTACTGCTATTTTGAACACCAGCTATGTATTTATATATTTATGGTAATGTTAGATCATATAGGATAGACAATTATTTTCATTGCAAAATCTGTTAAGATTCAGGATTCTTACACATAATATTTAGAAAGAAGTATTTATTATTAACATTTCAGTATAACCAATTTGATCCACAAGATTTTGTGACTGCAGTTTTTACATATGTTTATGAAGATATTAAAATGATAAGATTGGCTGATAAATCAATACCTTCTCTTACTGCTATTGTGAACACCAGCTATGTATGTATATTATATTTATGTAAATATTTATGATAATGTTATATCATATAGGATAGACAATTATTTTTATTGCAAAATCTGTTAAGATTTAGTATTCTTACACATAATATGTAGAAAGAAGTATTTATTATTAACATTTCAGTATAACCAATCTGATCCAAGATTTTGTGACTGCAGTTTTTACATATATTTATGAAGATAAAAGGACAAGATTGGCTGATAAATCAATACCTTCTCTTATTGCTATTGTGAACACCAGATATGTATGTATATTTATGTAAATATTAATTTTATATCATATAGGGTAGACAATTATTTTCATATCTATGCATGTAGCAATCTTACGTACAACTTGCTTTGCAATGATGTGTAACTGTCAAATATATCAGTTGTTTTAAGATTAGGTAATCCGATTTGTATTTACAATCTGCTAAATTATCTAAAGTGCATGGCAACTATGTAATGTAACATGAACAATTGCATTGTACGTTGAAGACTATTTGACGATTAAAGATAATGCGATTTATCACATGTTTGTATGTAAATTGTCTTACAGAAAAAAAAAGTGTTTCTCGAAATATGACTTGATTTGCTGTCAATGTTGAAAATGTCAGATCACAAGAGTTAGCAAAAAGTTGGATGAAAAATAAGGAGAGGGTATGACATTATATGATTGAAAAGAGAGAGAATGGACGAAAAACAATTATTTTGGACCTCCGGCCATCCTCAAAAAAAGGATCATTAAAAAAAAAAAACGGCCGCTCACAGATAAGCAGGGGGAGGGGGTCATAAAAATATTTTTAAAAAAACCCAAACAATTATAACGAAAATATAAATAGATATGCCATTGCAGGTCTTATTGTTGGGAGGACAATATCCTTCAGGGTTTTGCAAAACATGACAAAAATTGGGGGAAATGTAATTTTCCCCATTTTGGGGGCCGCGTCCCCCTTCCCCCAACTGACAAAAATGGTGGGGTGACATTGCATGGTATGATGTCCCTACCTTAAGAAAGAAAACAAAAACGTGTCAGCCATCCCCCCCCCCCCCCGATTGACGCCAATATCTGAATTAGCTATAGGAAACAACAAATAAACTGCAAATAACGATTTAAATGAGAAAAGTAGGCCTAATTAATGTGTGTGTCTTTTTATGTTATTAAAGTTTCTAAGCATTTACCCGAAGAAAACGGTTAAATAAAAGTTTATCGAGATAAACATGAACGTGAAACTATTCGCCCCTTCGTAAAGGCCGCATTTACGTTGCAATATGCGCACGGGCAGGGCACCGAGTGGCATTACGAACTGGCGAATGTGTACATTCGTCACTTCGTAATATACATGCTTATGTGTATTGTGCGCGCAACCGTGGCTATACGTTGGACATTACGAACTGACGAATGATTTATTCGCCGCTTCGTAATGTCAGCGCTTCAGTACATAATACGCGCAAACGTATAAAACGCGTGGTATTACGAACCGGCGAATGTTGTTTACACATGGACAGCAGGCTCGCTAGTTTAGTTTGCTATAATATTTGTAAATCACTTAAAAGAGCAACTTTTACACTCCTCACCTTTTAAATATTTTTGGATTAGGAGTAACGTAACCCCTTTTATTTGGCGATGTAGTAAGTGCAATTTTCTTCAAACGCGATTATCTCCGAATGATGTTTGCGCACTAAATATTAACATTCGCCGGTTCGTAATGTCCGCGACGAAATGTTCGTTTACATTTGATATTCATTATTTGATATATGTGTGGCATGATTAATTGTGTTAGGGATGTTATTTGGATCTGCAAAGTCCTACCGGTAATTAATACCCAAATCCCAATTGTTTTATTCAAACATCACATAAGCAACTTTGGCACAAGTTGATTTTTGCACTCTCGCAATCAATGCCTCCTGTTCATCTAACCATAAACACATACCGCACAAAATGATACTAAATGATTCGGGATAAAACACTCTTTCATAAGATGTATACTTATTTACAGTTCATATATGATTTTTAAAATAATTAGCAATTTTCTAGGTGTAAACTTTTTTTTTGACTCACACTGTATACACAAGGTTTTATGTTATCCCAGGGGTCTCAGTCATGTAGAAATGCTGTAAGCATGCATGACCACCGGTTTTCTGGACACGTACCTCCTAAACGAGGATTTCTTCTCAAGCCAAAATACACACCCTTAACAGCTTTTTCACAAAAGTTTACTCATAAACAAGTATTGCAAAATTGTAACCCCTTCGAGTGAGCAATTTGAAGTGCGATAGGGATGGATTACCATATAAGTTGTTGACAATCATGTGAAATAAATCAAACTGCACTTTTTATGTGAAATTCACATTATAAAAATGTATTTCAATAACAGCAATAACATCAACCTCTACACTTCCAAATGGGTTTAATGCACAGCCATCAGCCCATCACAAGTCTTTTCTTGCAAAAAAAGAAGTACATTTCAAATTTGGTCTATACATGTATGTAGTGTATACAAAAAGTACACAATATACAATGAACAGCTACTATTCTACTATTCAAAACAAAATATAAATGTATAGCAAGTCGGAGTCGGGGTCTAGAAAAATAGCCCGAAACGCGTTACTCAGGATTTTGAAACAGTACTCTTTTCTTGAAAATGGACGTTTTTAAACCCCTTAACGCGGCACCGCGCAGACCCCATGACTTTTACAAGCCGATTGCCTGTCTGATTATCAAGACATTTATGATTGGAAATCTAATTTTCAAAATACGTTATCCTAACGTTTTTTATAATACTACAGTCTATTTGGGAAAATGAGTATGGTAAAACCCGTCACTCATAGATTATTACTTTTTTGAGGCACTTCTTGATCACTTTGAAGCCCAATATTTTTAGGGCATCAATTTCACATCATATCACAGACATTGCTAACGCTTAGGGCCATGCATCTCAGATTTAACATTGTTAAACGATGCCTTTAAAGGTAATACAAAGTTTTTGTATGGGGTCATGAATTTGGTTCAAATGAACATATTGGAAGCATATGCGACCCTACAATATGCAGTCATCGTTGTCGCGGTTGAAATCGAGTCTAAAGTTGTGAAATTGTAAATAATAAACTCTTTATGTTTTATAGCTCCCTCTCAAGGTCAAGATATTAATTAAGCTATAAAACAATGTTTCTTGACTAAAATAGACCGATTAGCTATTCCTGTTTAGAAATTATATATTACATTACATATTCTGAGATTTTCATGGAGAAGTGTTTTAGGGGCTAAATTTTCCAAGGGGCATCCAAATACATCAAAATTGTAAAGAATCCCTATTCTACGGAGCCCGGGAAGGGACATGGTAAAAATATTTTTATCTCGTTAAAACGAGATAGTTATCTCGTTTTAATGAGATAGTATCTCGTTAAAACGACATAGTATCTCGTTTTAATGAGATAGTATCTCGTTAAAACGACATAGTATCTCGTTAAAACGAGATAGTTATCTCGTTTTAATGAGATAGTATCTCGTTAAAACGACATAGTATCTCGTTTTAATGAGATAGTTATCTCGTTTTAATGAGATAGTATCTCGTATAAGTCCATTGCATACTGGAACCGGGTGGTCCCTGTATTAAGCCTATGGGAGTGAGAGAATTCAGTAGTCCACGGGTTAACAACATAATACCCGCGAGGCTAGACTAGACTGCGCGCGCTGGCGCTAGCGCGCTCGCTGCTTAATGCAGTAATAGCGTATATAGCCAGGCGGCCATGCCATGCCAGGCCTTGTACGTATGTACTACTAAGTTACGTCTACGGTAGATCGACTGAATTCAACCAGAAGTTGCCGGTTGCAATCGCGAGGATTGAAGGTTAGTTCACTTCTTTTACTTATTTATGGCCGGGTCATTCAATGTAAAAGTGAACAAACAGCTAATTTAACCGATTTGCTCTTTTTCGCGATCAGTTCTAGATCTGTGTAACGTTAATTTTAAGACTGCTCAATTAGCAGACTGCAGTCCCCATCGGAAGCGCCCTGTTCTGGGGCCCGACGCTTCAGGCTCTCCGCGGTCTGGGTCTGGGACCCTGGCCTTGGGCTTGGCCTGCTGGGAAGGCTGTGGTCATTTTGCAAGCTAGAGACAAAGTAAATTAGATCTAGACGTTACTTTTTTACGTGCTCGCATTGCAGTAGAAGTGTGGAATTTTCGTATGTATAGATCTAGACTAGTCTAGATATACGAGGAAAAAGCAAGCAAATGTCAGAATTGTAAAAAAAAAAAAAACCTCATATTCCACGGCTATTGATGTCTAGTGTGTAGAGTCTAGATCTAGATTCAACTATGCAATATGCAATACACCGCAACTTAGTCTTAGTATAGATCTAGATCTATTTCAGCGGCGCGGCGGATCCAGGATTTTTCAAAAGGGAGGGCCGAAGTTGGACCGAAATATCAGCCTCTATTTGGCGTTGACGTTGACGGTTGGATCCGCTGAGATTGCATATCTGGCTTCTCTAAATGCCTCTGAGCTCTGTCATTTTGTCAAAAGAATGCCCCCAGAAAGATGGTTATTCCTGTCTAGGCCGAAGTATGCTCAGCCTCAGGGCCTCATCAGGCACCAGAAAAATTCGCTGACCAGCGAAAAAAGTGGAAAAAATGATCCTTAGCTTTTTCAAGTGTCTGTTTAGATCTAGTCTAGATCTACCCAAAATATTCCTTGACAAGCAAACAAAAAGGAGAAGGGGAGGGCCATGGCCGATTCCCCCCCCCCCCCCCCTTGATTCCGCCACAGTATAGATTCTATGACTATGTTGTTCAAATTATTTGCTAGGTACCAGTTTACTAGTAGGTTTATTGTCACCCTTAGTCCTTACACTTCTAGCCATGTAATAACATTAACAGTAACTGGGATTTTGTCAAAATGTTTACATTTACGTATCTAGAGGCTAATAAAAAAACATCAGTGCAACACTGTTGAGTATGTTGAAGCACTAAAAATAGAGGATTTATTTATTTAATAAATTTACTGTCTTCATATTAACTTTCATTGCTAACATGTTGAGCTATTTGATAAAATTATTTTTTTATTTTTTTTTTCTCAGTAAATTTACAATATTTTAATGTTTAATGTTGCTGAAATAGTTACTTGACAAATGCAAAGTAAGATTAATAAACAAAAACCAGTGTGCATGAAAAGTTTATTTAACCAGTTCTTTGGGGGGAAAAACACTGTTGCCTGTGCGTTTTAGATAGGTATACACCATGGGGCTAACGTAGTGAGCCCCATGCCTGCAGGGGTGGTTTATTGTACTAGTAACTACGAGTGTAGAAAATCAATAAGTTTTGAAATATTATAAATAAGGACTAGACCTAGACTGCATGCATGGCTGGAATACTCCCCCAGGGAGTGGAGAATGTGCATACATTGTGTGCGGGCAATCCTGATTGAATCCGATGACCGGGGACGGGGTAATAATAATCTGTAAACTGCTTAGATACATTATTAATGTCTTACTCTTAAGCACTATAAAAAAGCGGATTATTATTATTATTGATTGTGTTTTCAATATTTTAATTTTGTATTCATTGTATTTCTTCAGTAACTTAATGCCTGGCTAAAACATCGACAAACTTAAACTAATGTCATACATAAGTGTTAATACATGTGTAGGATCTACATCTATATAAGTTAGTTGGGAGTAGACTCTAGACCCTATATCATACATGTATGTATATGGTCCATCCATGCATGGACCACATACTCATCTCCCATCTTCCAAAAAAGAATAGCTAATGATTTTGGTAACAAAAAAATTGCCTCACTAATCATCACTGCTTCTTTGTTTTCTGTCTTCAGCGTGTTCTTCGGCAACACTGAGGCAGCATTTGAGAAGAAATATCCCTCAGGCTCAGCTCACCAATTGAAGGACAACCCATAGGAAAGTGAAAAGTATGCCGCAGACCTGCCGCAGACCTGCCGCAGACCTGCTGCAGATCTGCCGCAGACCTGCCGCAGACTTTTAGTCTGCGGCAAAGAGTATGCCGAAGTATGCGGCAGAAAGAAATTTTGCTGCAGACTTGCCGCATACCAGTATGCCACAGGAACAGTCTGCGGCAGGATGAAATTTTGCTGCAAACTTGCCGCATACTAGTATGCCACAGGAACAGTCTGCGGCAGATCTGCGGCAGATCTGCGGCAGGATGAAATTTTGCTGCAGACTTGCCGCATACTAGTATGCCACAGGAACAGTCTGCGGCAGATCTGCGGCAGGATGAAACTTTGCTCCAGACTTGCCGCATACTAGTATGCCACAGGAACAGTCTGCGGCAGATCAGCGGCAGGATGAAACTTTGCTCCAGACTTGCCGCATACTAGTATGCCACAGGAACAGTCTGCGGCAGATCTGCGGCAGGGCGAAACTTTGCTCCAGACTTGCCGCATACCAGTACGCCACAGGAACAGTCTGCGGCAGGTCTGCCACAGGAAATCCCATTAAAGTCTAATAGGGCCAATTGAAACCAATCATCTCATGCATATTCATTATTACTTTACACGTGTGACAGAAAAATACATTTATCATGATTTGTTAAGCAAATTAAGACAATGCACATCATTTTTGTGACTTCTATTTTCCTTTTGCCATTATTAACCAATAGATTATTTTGTCTGATCATGTTACAATTACATTCACGTTTAAGCAATAGATATATTGATTACTAACCAAGAAACTATGATTACTAACCAAGAAACAATATACATATTTAGTATATATATGTGTACGAGCCTGTGTCACTTTAAATGTTACTCTTGAATACACTTCAAATGATCAATGTGATGAAGTTAATACAATTGAGAATAGAATATACCTAATTGGTAATATATATATATATTGGTATTACCTAATTGGTAATATCGATATTGCCAATATCGATTATGAAGTATCAATCAGTTTATCACTGGTTCTTCTACATGCATACTTTATTGCCACGTACTGGATATGAAAGAGTATGCGGCAGGTCTGCAGCAGGTCTGCAGCAGGTCTATATGAGATATGAATATTCATGACGAAGAGAATATATACTGAAAGAGTATGCGGCAAGTCTGCAGCAAGTCTGCGGCAGACCTGCCGCAGACTCTTCATCATACTGAAAGAGTATGCGGCAAGTCTGCGGCAGACCTGCCGCAGACTCTTCATCATACTGAAAGAGTATGCGGCAGGTCTGCAGCAAGTCTGCGGCAGACCTGCCGCAGACTCTTCATCATACTGAAAGAGTATGCGGCAAGTCTGCGGCAAGTCTGCGGCAAAACTAATTTGCATGTGAAAAAGATGACTGTCTGCGGCAGGTCTGCTGCAGATCTGCGGCAAGTCTGCCGCAGGAGTATGCGGCAGGCTCATTTCTTTCCTATGGGAAGGACAAGGGTTCTATCCAGAGTTTCCAAGTAAGATAATTCCTCTTATAATCCTATTCAGTGTAAGTGTTAAAAAAAGAAACTGAATTGAAATAAGAAATTAAATTAGATAGAAGAATAGGCAGCAAGATGAGGGGTAATGGAATGTAAGTTCTAGGAAAAAGTTTTGAAAACACTTGTAACGATTTCTGGATCTGGATGTATACGATGCTGGACCAGTTGGTATATGATTGCAGCAGATGAGAGAGGGTGCAAAGAATAGATAGTTGAATCGTAGGTGGCTCTTCTCAATCTTAGACTTGAACACCTTTGATGATGGACAGACTATTGATTACTTATTAGAGTACAGACTCAGTAATTTTGAATCCAAAGGACCTGTAGATGGTACGTACTGAACTGATAGACTCTTAGAGCTGTAGCGTACCTTTAGGATAGACCTAAACAATCCAATTTTCTGGGCATTAGTTGGCACATAACCTTATTCTTGAAACTTATGACCTAATTCTTGTGCAGCCCTGATATGGGTATTAATTGCACAGGTCACTTACTGACTTTTTCTTAAATTCTCTTTTTAGGCACAATTTTTGTAGGGTGTTTTCTGCAGCTGTGACCCATGCATACACACCCTAGCCTCCAGCACAGCATTGACCACCCAGCTAATCTCATTCAGGTATGACTTTCTGGGATTGATTTGAAGCTCAATGAACAGAAGGCTCAAGATTAGCTATTGTCACCTTCATCAGGGGTGGGTTCATTAGGATCAGGGGTGGGGGCTAAATGGAAAAGGGAACAGATTTATCAATTTTTTTGGTCAAAATGCATGATCACATGTAACCAAACTTGGCAGGAATCATTCAAAATTCTACCCATGGATGTACAATTTTTAATCATGCATGTAACTCAATAAATGTCTTAGGATTGTTCTAAAGATAAAAGAAAGGGGCTAAAGTGTGGTTCGATTCACCTCTCATTCCATGTGTATACCTTCACCATGTACAAAGTCTATGGCACTAGACTATGGAAATGGTAAGCTGTCACTGGCAATTCAATGCCAATGATGAAATAAATGGCAGTGCTTGGAGTGGTGACATTAACCATAATGCGATTGAAGTAAATAATGAAATGTTTCATGTATTTAAAAAAAAAAATGCATTTTCAGATTGTAACCGATATATGTATGACTATAGGAATCATCCATGAGGATAGGAGCTCAATGTAACTTAATTCAAACTCTCTGCAAGTGAGAATCAGCAACAGGTAAATTATTCACAAGTTGCATATTATAGTAAGTTCATACATGTACCTCTTCAAAAAACAGAAAGACTAAACATTTTATTATATTTCAAGAAATGTAGGTAATTGTTAGTCACTACCTAAGCCCCCCCCCCCCAAAAAAAAAATGCATCATTAGTCGTCACTGTTCCCTCCTTTTTTCATTTTCAGCATTTTCCTTGGCAACATTGAGGCAGCATTTGAGAAGAATTAACCTTCAACTCACCAACCTGCTCTTAGGCATTTTCTTCAAGGATGCTATCCACAGATGCCAAGTAAGTGGAACAGATATACGAGGTGTGTCAGAAAAGTTCCAGGACTGATATCACAAAAGAAATATATACCCAAATTACAGACTTTGAGTTTTCCCTTTCGAAGCAATCCCACTGGAGTCTTACACAATGTCCCATCTTTCTCTGCCATGCCTCCATGCACTCCTGAATGATTTTTCTTGGATCCTCTGCAGCTTTTTCCGTCCTCATGGCCATGTTTACATCTTCCACATTTGTAACTCTTTGTGCGACCAACCATGAAACCCCTGTGTGCCCCATTATTTTAGGGAGTGACAATTTTGCCGCATTCTGCCAGACACTCCTAATTCAAAGGGCTGTAACTTTTTCTGCAATCGTTATGAAGAAAAATTGTGTCCAGCAAAGTTGTCTAGTTTTGTATTGGCTTTCCAGTCATATATATTTCTCCCAGAGAAACAAGAATTTGGTCATGCAATTTCAAGCATATTATTTGGTTCCAGAACTGAAACATTCAATATAACATTACTACAGTGTTTAGATACCTATACAAGTGGAGAATAAAACTTGTTCATGACAGTTCCCAGAGTAGCCCAATGGACTCGTGTTGGGTAACAGTTTTTTGTTTGTTTTGTTTTGTTGTCGTTGTCGTTGTTCTTTTTTTTTTTTGGGGGGGGGGTTATTTGAATTAAATGTGTTATTATTGTAGAGATAGGTAATGCAAGGTTGTGCAAATGGTAATGTGGCCCCAATGAGGTCCCATATCCTTAGCAGCTCCACAGGGAGCATGTGAATTCATCTGTAAGCTCAGGTGAGCATTAATCCCCTTATTTTTCCCAGTGCACATGTGCACACTTGAATTGTTTCCTTGGAAACATGGAATGCACATGGCAACTATTACAGTTACAGTCCTCTTCTTCTTCTTCCTTTTTTTTTAAATGAGACTTTTCCTTCTTTTGAGATGCCCCTCAAAACTCATGATGCATCTTACCAAATTCTCTTTCCATTCTATCTTTGGAAGATGTATAAGCATTCTTTCTTTATTAGTTAGATGTTTGAAGATTTGTGAGAAGGATAAATTAAGACTTGGACATTATGTTTCTTCATTGATTGTAAACTTCCTGATTTTTGCATGTAATATTTATAAATCTTATTTTTTAATTCCCCTGCAGATAGCTACAGATTGTGTTAAGGATATGGACTCCGAAAACATGGCGAAAGGTGGACAGAAATCCTTAATAGATTTCCTGAAGGAACGACAAGTGGAGGAAGCTTTGCTCAGAGCCATGGAGAAAGATAAGGTAGCTCTTTGTGTATACATACTGTTCATATCTCCTTTTTTAAAAGAATCAAAAGTATTGGAAAAGGCACATTATTATGTGACAGAAATGATGTAAGAAACTGGTAATGCCTTTATAATACTCCAGTGCTGCAAACAGATTTCATGTGTGCAGGCTAATGTCTGTTTGTTTCTTTCAAAAGTAATACCAAAGCCAAAAGAAAGTGCTCTGCATATAAATGTGCTTACTGTCATATGTTGAAGTGTAGAGATAAACATTTAGCTATGGAGATTTGTCACAAGAAAGTCAAGCATCCTATTTCTTTTGGTGATTGCAGTATTATACCTCTGCATATTCCATTGTTATGGGTAGAAAGATATGTGACCGTTTGGTATAAATTTTAGAAGTTTTTAAAAGCAAAGTGAGATCAGGTGAGCCTAGTGGTTGCTCAACCCCCTTGTTTGGTGAAATTAGCAAAAAAGGGTACTTCCAAGGGGGCATCTCGAAAATAGTACCATAGGTTTATGTACATCGAGCACTTTGTCAAGTACTTTAGGTAGGGTTGATGTTGCTACATTCTTCTTTAAGTAGATGGATGAAAATTCTCTAATTCAACAAAGATTTTACAGGGCAAATTGGAAAACAAAACTTGAAAATTAATGATAAAACTACACCCAAAATCTCACAGAACAAAAAACCTAAGTGGTATCGACAATTTATAGCTATAAGGTGAGGTAAGGGACTCCATTGTAGTAATTCATTTTGATGAGAATTTTATTGATAGCCAATGCTTACATGTGATGCTGGTCCAATATGTAAAAGTCAATGTCATAGATCACTCAACTTTGGTGAAGGATGTCTGTTTTCCAGATATTTACAAAAATCAAGATATTTTGCTGATTCCAAGAAATGTACCAGTCTTTATGTGTTGTAAGTAATGTAATGTAAGTTTACATACAGACAGGCAAATATTTAGGCTTAACCCTAAAGAGGCCGAGTTATTTAGGCTATCTCACAGCAGGGGGGGGGGGGGGGGGGTCGACTGCGCAATCGCCACAAAAATCGGCGTGCACACGATGCTTGTGACATAATCTACAAAATTGTATATTTAATTTTTCTGAATTTATTGAATTTTATTTTATATTAATTAATTATGCTAATTTATGCATGGAATCAGACATTTTGCTCTAAATCACTTAAAGGTCCAAAAGTGCTAATTTTGGTCTAAACACTCTACGTAGTATTTTTAGCAAATGAACTTGAAAAAAATTCCCGTATCAATCTGAATTTCTTGTGTATTTTATTGTCTTTAAAATTTCTTATGTATTTCTTTGTTTTTTTATTGTTTTTTTCGACAAAATTTGTCGGTGACACTTTTGCGATCATAAACAACATAGAATTAATTAATTTTAATCAATAGAAGTAAAAATATTCATACATCTATGAATTTTCTCTGAAAACACAATTTGTATTGAAAATGTACATGAAATCACGTTTTTTTAGCAGTTTTTGGTCCGACGTGCAAGTGCCAAATGTTGTGTAACTTCGGAACCGCGCGCCCAGGCATTGCAAATTTGGTGTCAAAAGATGCGCGAGGTTTGAAAGAAAAAAGTCCTGAAACTTCGCGGTAGAATTTGTTTGCGTTGCAGACATATCGCACGAAACGTCCCCCGGCCCTGTTAGGGTTAAAGAACAGATAAAAACAGCAGTGGTTCAATGGGCAAATAATTTATTCAGTTCACCCATGATCTTATGTATGTAGGTCAAAGGTCATAGCTCATCAAATATGCAAAATAGCTAATTATATATGCAAAAATGTGGTTTCCATTCGATAACGTAAGTAATGTTGTTGAGTATATAAGTCAAAGGTCAAAGGTCACAGCTCATTAAATTGCAATAATTGCTAGTTATGTAAATTTGTACCAGGCTAGAGGATGCTACGCTTTGCGTTGCCCTTGTTAAAGAGTAATTTGGGGTTTATTGAAGTATGGTTACCATGTGTAATATAGAAGAGCATTCGCTTCTAATCTCCCATCTGAAAGATGTTTTTTTTTTTTAATTCCTTCTCAGATTGACTGCCATGCCTTGCTTGAAATGGATGATGAATGCTTGAAGGACTACCTCCCTGCCTTCGGTGATAGACTCGCTGCAAGGGCATTCTGCAGGTGTCAAACTAAAGACGAAAACCATCGTCAAGCCTTCTGGAAAGGCTGAGAACAAGACTTTCAAGAAAAAAAAAGTCAGTTGATGACAATCCCCCCTCAAAAAAACGTAACAATGCACACAAAGATACACAAAAATTAGAAGTAGGGTGGATGGATTTTGACTATGCAACAAAGGAATTAAAGCAAGTGAGGAGTCAAGGCGGAGGAGGGACAAGAGAAATAAGAGCAAACAAGAGCGAAGGACTAGACAACCTTCTTGCAACTGCAAAAGGGCTATTTTTCCCTGATGGTAAATCCAAAAGGGGTAAAATTGAAGACTACGAAGTGGACATTCAAGATTTTAGAGGATGTGAGATGGGGAATTCCACTGTAGGCGAACTGTATGAAAATGCGAAATCACGTGTTTTGAGACTATACCTGTGCACCAAAACAAAAAATAGAGACCAACCATCGACAGAAACCTCTTCAGACAATCAAAGTGAAAACCAGCCAGAAGAAGAAAGTGATTCAAGTGACTGTTATGTTGTCCAGTTTGGGAGAAAAAGTGATGAAGGCACACAATCTCAGCTAGATGAAACATTACCATTAAACCTTGAATATGTTGGAGGTTGCATGATAGATGATGATTGTGAATTACCACCAATACATTTGGGATTCTCGGACTTTGAAGGTCAATCTGTAAACCCACAACGATCCACTAATATTAGTGCCGAAATTCAACCTCCAAACCAAGCACAAGCCACTGACAATGGTGCTCACACTCAACCAAGAAACCAAACACTAGCTACTGACAATCGTGCTCAAACTCAACCAGGAAACCTACAACAATCCACTGACAATCGTGCTCAAGCTCAACCAGGAAACCTACAACAAGCCACTGACAATCGTGCTCAAACTCAACCAGGAAACCTACATCAAGCCACTGACAATCGTGCTCAAACTCAACCAGGAAACCTACATCAAGCTACTGAAAATGGCGATCACACTCAACCAAGAAGCCAACAACAAGCTGATGCTCAAATTCAACGTGCAAACCCTGCCATAAGCTGCCATAGATTATGATCTTCAGTTAGATGATGCGGGAATTCCTTCAGATACAAAAGCTCTGCAAATCCGTTTACATCGAAGCAATATCCAAGCTGAAATGATTGCACTTTTCAAGACGCCTGAGATCCTTAGTATCCAGTTGAAGGTAACTTTTGTAGAGGAGTTAGGAGTGGATGCCAGAGGAGTATCTAGAGAAGCATATAGTGCATTTTGGAACTCCTTTTTTAATACATCTGCAGATGGCGAGGATTACAGGGTGCCTTCATTGAACCCTGAATACGGTTTGGAGGAATGGCTGTCCATAGGGAGGATTTTGTCAAAGGGATACTCTGACCATAACATTTTCCCTGTGCAATTGGCCCCAGCCTTTCTAATAGCCGTCATGTTTGGAGAGGAGACAGTGTCAACTGAGGACTTACTTGAAACATTCCTCCTGTTTCTTAGTCCACTTGAAAGAGCTACAGTGAAGCAGGCTCTACAAGGAGATGTTCTGTCAGATGACGAGCAAGACATATTTGAAGACATTCTAGACCGTGAGGGATGTCACTCTATCCCTAAAGGGGAAAATGTCCGGCCCACAATCTACCAACTGGCCCACAAAGTTATCATACAGAAGAGTATGTATGCACTGGAGGGCATGAGAAAGGTGGTCAGAGATGCCCTACACTCAGCTTTTCCAGATGTTAACTCTATCAAGATAATGTATGGCTCTCTAAAACCTACTCCTAAGAAAGTCTGTGATTTACTTGCCGCAAATCCTCAAACAAGGGAGGAGGCCCAGTCGCTTAGATTTTTGCAGCAATACATCCGAGCCCAAAACGAAGAAGGTCTAGGCACATTGTTGAGATTTTTGACAGCTTCGCCTGTAATGACTGCCATACAGATTTCTGTACAATTCACAAATACCACTGGATTAGCTCGAAGGCCAGTGGCTCACACATGCGGACCAATGCTTGAGCTGCCAACAAGTTATACTTCATATAGAGATTTCAGATCAGAGTGGCAAGCGGTACTTTCAAGTGGCTACCTCGCCATGGACATTGCATGATTTTTTTTTTGTGTTTGAGGCTGTTCACACCGCAATGAGATAGCGCGGTCTATCGTAGCACCCCCTTTTTTCTAGCGCGTGCTAGACCGCGCTATCTCTCGTGGACCACCCCCAAGAGGTGCTCCAGTGGCACGCCGTTTTGGCTCGCCGTGGCTCGCTGTTGGGCGGACCGAAAAGACGTTGTACCTTCCACACCGCAGAGATAGCGCGGTCTAGCGCGCGCTATCTCTGCCGGTGTGAACAGCCTCTTTGTTGTTTTTGGTTTGTCTCGCGCATACTTCAAAGTTAGGAAAATTGGTGTTAACCTGTATTTTCGAAGAGATGTTTTTAAGTGTTTAAATAGATCTTCAACATGTATTGTCAATCGATATGACACAAACTTTGGAGGAAATGATCCTTAAAATGTCAATACCAAATTTCTTTCATGATTTAAAATATAAATATGAAGTATGGTATTTCATAAAGAAAATTCATAGCTTTCATTTGACTCCAATATCTAACTTTAGTTTATTGGCAGCGGAATGTTAAACATTTGATTGTCTTGCTTTAAAACTCGTCCAGATGTCTGCATGAAGTACGAATAGTTTCAAATTATTCTGTAGCAGGTCCCTAACGTCCCTGTCATAATAATGGCCTACCATCAATGCACAGTACACGTTGCATGGTGTGACATGCATTACATGTAATAGCAAGTTCACCTTTACTTGCACTTTTTTTCCCTTCTCTAATGATTATTTTAGTTTTCTTAATTCTTTTTAAATTCCTTGTTATAGATTCTTTTAAATGCTGTGACATCGCTCAATGGCAGTGAATACGGTTTTTAGAACAGGAATTTTTTAATCAAAATTCATGACGATTTTTACAATGCATTATATGGTTGCTAATAACATTGCCTAGGTTTTGTCAGTTATTCCTCCAGCTTAGTGAAGTTTAATTTAACCCATAGAGATACAGAGCTTTCTTCAGGTCTGAATTAATCAGCTTTCACTCCTCAAATTGGCAACAATTATTATCTTTTTCCTCTCATAGTCTGAAAAAAAAATTAAAATGGATATAACATTAATCAAAATGAATAATAATTGCAAAATTTAATGTAAAATTGCCAATTTTCACATGTAAATAGTGATTACATATTTTCATTGCATTGCCAATTGAGTTTAATGATTAGTTAAAGTTAAACTGCTCGTCAGCATGCCCTTATGATAACTCTTTATATGCACCCATAATTCTTATGTTGGTACTCCTGTTTCCAGATATGAATATATTTGTTATATTACAGGTTACTTTGGAGGAATGGGCTAGAGTGGAATAACCGTAACCCTGAAATTCTGGGAAAAAATAATTTCCTGAAATCATCCATTTTGTTCACGGTCAAGAACAAAGTAGCAAGTTTTGAGTTTGCCCTTGTAGTTTGTTATATATGGTTTAGAGTGGCAGTGCGCCCTCTTGTGTTATGTACTGACTTGACAACCAGAATGAAGATTACTAGAATAAAGCACTAACCAGTTGAAGTTGTAAACTTTAAACAGACTTTATTGCCTATTATGTAGAGTCAAACAAAAGCATAAAACATGGTGTCAGAAGTGTAGTGACCATGGACTCATTCCTGAAATCGGCGTACAGCCAGGAAGAATAATTTACAGAGTCGAACTGTTCACGTTCCGAGCAAGTTTGCAGCAACCGAGTACACGCGAAGTCGTCGTACAGTGGACAGATTAGCGAATGGTTCGTAGTATAGCATCCATAAACGCGACGTCGTTGAGCAGCGGTGAATATGACTTATGAACATTGTCGCAATAGACTTGACTCGTCAGTCGATGTAATGTGAACTATCAATAATAATAACGATGTTTAGTTATTTTGGTTGTTTTACGTGTGCATTGTTTGGAATGAAATGGTGTGGATTTATGGAAAGAGTGCATTAATATCAGAATTAATACTCGATAAGTCCAATCAGTCTGGTTCATTCAGTGGGTTTAGCAGTATAGTTTACTCCGTATTAGAATTTGCTGATTTGTTACTGTAAGTGTAATTGTATAGGCGGTAGAGATAACCATGTCTAACACTGAGGCAGTACAAGATCCTCCCCAGAGGGGAAGTGAAGAGTCAGAAGGAGTAAATGAAACTGGGACTAACCAGGGTCAGGTCTTGAGTGATAACAATACTGATAATGATAGTGTTAGGACCAGAAATAGGCCGGGCAGTACAAGTAGAACAAATGTGCCACTCCCAAGACCTCTTTCGGTAAAAGGGGATATGAAGAAAAACTGGGGTATTTTCACCCAGATGTGGGACAGTTATGAGGTCATAACTGGGTTAGAACACGAAAGTAATAAAATTTGTGTGGCACATTTCATAACGGCACTAGGAACTGATGCATTGGAGATTCAACAAGGCCTCCCTTTCAGAAATGAGGAGGAAAGAAAGTTATAAATGCATAAGAAAACTCTGGTCTGAATATTGTGTCGGGCAAACAAACATTACTTTTGAAAGATATCAGTTCAATAAGTGTGTTCAGAATACTGATGAGTCAGTTGAGAATTATTATGTGAGGTTAAGGTCTCTTGCAAGTACTTGTGAGTTTGGTACTCTAACTGATGACCTCATCAGAGATCGAATCGTTCTAGGGATTAGAGACGATAATACAAGAAAACGTCTTTTGCAAGAGCCAAATCTTACTCTGTCTAGTTGTTTGGATATCTGCAGAGCTATGGAGTCGTCCAAAGCTCAGAGCAAAGCCATGGAGGAACCAGTATCTGCCTATGCAGTGTCCCATAAACCAAAGGTTTGGAAGCATAGTGGGGGTAAGGGCAAGAAGCTAGCTCCTAAATTGATTAATTGTGGTTTCTGTGGTAAGCAGCATGAAAAAGACAAATCAAAATGCCCAGCTTATGGCCAAAAGTGTAAGCTGTGCAAAAGAGAAAATCATTTCGCTGTGAAATGTAGACAGAATAAGAACAAGGCTCACAGAGTAGAGACAATTGAAGAGAATGAAGATTCTGAACAAGAGTGTGTATATGTTTCTCTGATAGGCACAGATGAAGCATTTCAGGTATCTGCTGATAGTAAGAGTCCAAATTATCAGAAAAAGATCATTGCAAAGTTTAGAATCAATGACGAAGACGAGATTGGTATGCAGGTTGATTGTGGAGCGACATGTAATGTTATCCATCTAGAAGATGTTCCATCTGGGACAGAGTTAACTAGTACAAATCAGGTTCTGATTGTGTATGGTCAAGGAACAGTACCAGTTGCAGGGAAATGCAAGTTGCATCTTAGGAATGTAAAGAATAACAAGAGGTACTTAGTTCCATTTGTTGTTGTGAAGGGCGAAGTCACAAGACCACTGTTGGGAGCTAGTACAGGCCAGCAGATGAAGTTGATCAAAGTACAGTATGAAAACATTGAAGTTGTTCATGCAGTAGCTAATGATGATATTCTGATCCCATACAAGGAGGTATTTACAGGGTTGGGTAACATGCCAGGAGTAGTTCATTTGACCTTAGAGGCTGAGGCAAAGCCAGTAGTGATGCCCCCTAGAAGGGTCCCTCTTTCAATTAAAGAAGATTTGAAAGAAGAGTTGTGTAGGCTTGAAAAGCTGCAGGTGATTGAGAAGGTAGAAGATCCTAGTGATTGGGTATCTAGTCTTGTAGTAGCTAGGAAACCAAGTGGTAAATTGAGAGTATGCATCGATCCGCAACATCTTAATAGGTCGTTGAAGCGTGAGCATTACCCATTGTCAACGATTGATGATGTCCTACCACAGTTAGCGAATGTGAAAGTTTTCAGCAAGGCCGACTTGAAGGAAGGTTTTCTACAGTGTAAGTTGGACGCAGAATCATCCAAGCTTACAACATTTCAGACACCTTGGGGTAGATATAGGTTTCTTTGCTTACCCTTTGGTCTATCACCTTCGCCTGAGCTCTTCCAGAAGCGCCTAGATCAGTGCCTTGAAGGCCTACCAGGAGTATTCGTCATAGCAGATGACATTCTCATAACTGGACAGGGTGAGACACATGCAGAGGCCTGCATAGACCATGATCGTAACATGACTAGTTTCCTTCGCCGATGTCGCGAGCGAGACATCAAGCTGAATTCTAGCAAGCTTGAGTACAAATGTAAGGAGGTGCAGTTCATTGGTCACCGACTGACCAAGGAAGGTGTTCGGCCCGATCCTAGCAAAGTCGCAGCTCTCGTTGACATGCCACAGCCAGTAGATATACCTGGAATCCAGCGATTTGTGGGAATGGTTCAATACTTAGCAAAGTTCTTGCCATCATTGTCGGGGCTCAGCGAACCGTTACGTAGGTTGACCCACAAGGACACTCCCTGGAACTGGGGAGAAGAACAGTCTAGAGCATTCATCGCGATCAAAGGACTTGTTACAGAAGCACCGGTTCTCCGATACTTTGATCAGCAGTTGCCGGTAGAGGGTCAAGGTGATGCCTCACAAAAGGGCCTGGGTTTCGTGTTGACTCAGAATGACCAACCGGTGACATACTCAAGTAGAGCGTTGACTGAGGCCGAAACTAGATATTCTCAGATCGAGAAGGAACTTCTTGTGCAAGTTTTCGGACTTGAAAGAAACCATCAGTACGTGTACGGTAGAAAGGTGATCCTTTGGACAGACCACAAACCGCTAGTGACAATAACGCGTAAACCGTTGGCTTCTACACCAAAGAGACTGCAAAGATTACTATTGCGAATGCAACAGTACAATGTAGAGATCTTCTACAAGCCGGGTAGAGAGATGTACCTAGCAGACACCCTGTCGCGAGCATACTTACCGAACTCCGAGCAATCGCCGACAGAGAAAGAAGTTGAAAGCATTCACATGCTTGAGGACATAGCGGTGTCGCAGAAGACGTTAGCGCTCATCAGGATTGAAACGCAACAGGATGAAAGCCTACAAGCGGTAAAGGGACTGATCCTTGAGGGGTGGCCCGAAGACAAGTCTCGTCTGCCACCTGGGACTTCTCCATACTTTGACATCCGTGATG